TCCCGATAGGACCGACAGAAAAAAAAAAATAAAAAATCCGCCCGCCGACCGATTTTTTTAGATCCATGTAATGCAAAACGAAAAATTAACTTTGCGTGGCCTTATCTAAAAATATAGATGATATTTCTTCGAATACAAATACTAATGGAATGCTAGCATTTATAGCACGGCCATTATTGATCATGAATATTGCACTATTTATGCTATAAATTACTTTCTTTTTATTTTGTCATTCATGCTTGTTATTTTGCACGATGCATACGTCATCCATACTTATATTGCACTATACGAATTAAAGGGTATTAAAAAAACATAAATAGTATAATTTATGATCAATGACCGCCGTATTATAATACCAATATAGCATGATAATTCTGAGATACATCACATTGGTACAGCGACAATTTTTTTGATTATTCAGAGAATGCCGCTTCGCGGCATTCTCTGATCAAAAAAATTATCACTATACCAACGTGATGTTATCTCATATTATCATACTACATTATATAAATACAGAACCTCAATTTTTAAATAATTCATATATAAACGTGATAAAAAGTCAGATATTTATAGTTTTGGTGTAATTATGTGGGAAGTTTCGAGTCAAAAGGTTCCATTTAAAGATTATGGACAATTGAAACTCTTCAAGAGGTTGTTCGTGGAAATAGAGAGTCTCCTGTAGACGGTACACCTCCTCGATATATCAAACTTTTTCAAAATTATTGGGAGGACGATCCTAATAAATGTCCTAAGATAGAATCGTTATTTAATAATTTGAAAGAAATGTATAAAGGAATTAATTAATACAGCAAAGGGTTTGTGTTATGTAAAACGTAGTTAAATATATGCATTATTCTAAAATGGGATTAATAAAAAATGAAAATTTTGAATTAAAAGGTACTTTTTAAATAATATCGTTAGATATGATTTTGAACATAGGTTGCAGAAAAGAAGATTTAGAAAGTTAGAATGTATATTTTTTTTGTTGAGGATGCTTATCTATCACTTTAATAAATTCTTCACTCGAATATTTAATGCAGATTCTACCATTAGCATATTCCAAAACTAAATTGTATATTTCCCTATCATCTACATTTAAATAAATCATAAAATTATTAAAATGTTGAA